TCTAGTAGCCATACTATTATATTTCTGTTAGAAAAAAAATATTTTCGTATCTAAATATTTAAAACATCTGATATTTTTATTTTTAAAATTAAAAAAATTAACTGTCAAAATAAGGAGCTTTAGATTTGAAAATAAATAATGCTTTTCTAAAATATATTTTTAAATTTTCTATATAATAATTAAAAGTGTATATATAATATAAAATAAAAAATGTTCTTCAGAAAGTTCTGCATCGTTCTTATTATGTAATACAAGAACTTTGTTTTTCTTGAAAGTTTTTGTACTTTTAAGAAATAAATTCATCTAGTTGTCAGTGGAGAAAAAGAACAATAACGAAACTTTATGAGAACATAAAATGAAATTATAGAAACATATTTTTATAACAACTTTATTTTCCAATTTCATGTCTGTTTATCGAAACAGGAAATACTCCCAACTAAAATAGATTCCTTTTTATTACATTCACAGGATATAGTAATATTGTTAGAAATGTTCAATATTGACTGTTGACATATCGAAAAAATGAGATTACAAAACACATCACAAAAACTTGAACACTTTGTTAGAACCAGAATATAATTTTTCAAATTGTTAGACTGACGTTTGTCTGTTACCCGTTTTATATCGCCTACAATCTTTTCTCAAAGCCCAAGAAACGTTCAATAGAATATATGCTGATTCAATCAAATCTATGCTGTGTTAATTTGTGAGCAAAATAGTTCCATCTTTTGAAGATTTTCTTTTTCTCTTTTTTGTTTTTATAAAGTCATCTTTACAATCTTATTCGAAAGAACACATTCTCAAATCTATAAATTTACAGATTTATAGATTTTAATAATGTTTTTTTATACATTAGTTTAAATCAAACTTCAACAGTAAAATAAAAATAAAAAGCTATTTTTCCACGTCAATAGCATGAGAGATTCTTTCCACGTGTTTGTGTGATAATTGAGATAATCGATATCTTTTACCCAGAGCAAATGTTTCAGTTTGTTGTAAACAAGTCTTCTTCTCCCTTGCAAGTAATCTTTTACTTGTATTTTTGTGTAATAAAAGAAATAAGGTTATGTGTATATAACTCGGAATCTTTTTAAAGTATAATTAACCATTATCATAATTTGAATCATAAATATCAACAATTATAATCATCATTATTTGTTATTATTTTTCTTAAATTTCTGATTTAATCAATATTAGACAAAACATTAAATTCAATAGTTTTTCTTCAATAACTCTTTTCAACAATACCCTGCATTTTTTGTTCTTTTTTAAAAAAGGACGCTAACTTGTTTTTGTTCATTTAGCCAATTCGCGCTATAACAATAATGACTTTCCAATGGCTCCTTCTTAACAACTTTTGCTGTCTATCTGGCTCTTCTCTCTTGATCGTAATGATCCTTTGCACCTTTATTGATTGATTGAGATGAGGTCATGGCAGATGTAGCAAATTCCCGACACGTTATTTTACTTTTTTTAGTTGGCAATTAGAAATAATTCATTAAGCCATTTCTTTCTCAGCTAATTAGAGTTTCTTCTGTTAGAAAATGTTCTGTGTTTGTAGTTGGAGTATCAAATAACAATCTACGCATTCTGACATCACAAGTTGACCTAGATGTGGTATTTTTGGATATCTCTAACATTTCTTTGTTACTAACGTCTGCTCCACAGTTCTCCGAATCCAAAGATCTTGTCGATGTTGTTAAGCATCGTATATTCATAGTTAATGAGGTTTTAGGTGATAATTCACTATTTGTTTCTTCTTTTGGTGCCTGGTTCGTAAATATATACAAAACAATAAGAATAACAATCGATATCGAATAATTTTAATATTAAAATTAATTAAGTAACATCTATTTCTAACGCTGTTATAGTTTTTACAAAACCATATAATATATATAACTTTATACTTTTATAGTTTAAAATAGTTCAAGTCTTATAATTCAACTATATATTGTATATGGTTTTGGAACTATTTATTTCTACGGCAACTACATTTAAAAATTATAAAATTAAAGAAAATTAATTAATTTCTTTTATGTATTTTCAATACACTGTTTAAAACTGATCTTGTAAATATTTATAAAATTTATCTAAATAAAAAAATAAATGTGGAACATACATTTTTACGTCAATAAATTTGTTGTTTACTCTTAAAAATATTTATAATTATTTCAGGAATAATTTATTGAAGAAATATAATTTATATAATCGTTCTTTATTTTTTTATGTAATAATTTTTCATTTCATTTAAAAAAAACAATTTTTACAGTAATAATTATATTTGAAATCTATAGATATAGATTTTTATGAGGAAAGGAAAAATAAAAATAAAATAAGTTTGGAAGAAAAAGAAACGAAAGGAGAAAAGAAAAATAACAAAGAAAACAACCAGCAAAAGATAGCAACAATGAACGAAAGAAAAAGAAAAAAGAAAACTACAAATAGCATGAACTTAAAAGAAAATATATTTATGAATTGTTAAATGTACAGTATATATTTACTTATTTATTAAAATACATTCTAGTTATTTAAAAAAAATAAATGAAATTACTCTGTACTAGTAACTTGTACACATAATTTCTGGTTAAATATCTAAAATATATTTATATAAATCTATTAATGTATTAAAGCTTATTAAATTGCTACATCTATTCGAAAACAATGTATTTATTAATGATATCCAGTAAGAAATATGTCTATTAATCATGCTAATATCGAGTATTATATTTTGAATGATATTCAATTACGAAACACGAAGAATAATAGTGGTTCACAGAATTTAAACATAATTATTCTCAACGAAATAGCTACTAAATGTATAACGGGAAGAGCTTTCAGAATGTTATCTGACAATTTCATAACTTTCACTACCGATGGAGAATGCGTCCTTTAGTATAACATATTCAAAGTACCCTATAAACCTTGCCAATTCTAGATGTTTGCATTAGTATAAACATATAATTTAATAAAATATAATAAGAGTTTAAGTGTAGGACATAATAGCTAAGTACTAATTTTGATGTTTATAATTATATATATATATATATATACATATATACATATAACAAAATATTAATATTAATAAAATGATTTACTTCAAAAATTAAACTGGTTAACGATGGATAAAAAATCACATATAAACATTAAAGAGTTGAACAGAATGTAAAGTCAAATTAATGTTGTTTGAGTAGTTTGAAACGAACTTATATGTATTTTTGATTATAGAGAATGTAAAGAACGAGATTTAAAAAAATTAAACATTTTATAAAATATTAACGTACATTTTTCTGAAAGCTATCTTCGTATTTGTTTCTTTTCAGTATGTCAGGGCAATCTGCATCTGCATGAGGATCCACGTATCTTCTTCTAGTAGCCAACCTTTCGCAAACAGCTTCTTCGCCTTAAAAAGAAAGAAAATAGAAAAACAAAAATTCTAAATGGATCTATTGAATCGTTAAGAAAATGAAAGCAACATTGAAACATTTATCATAAGTATACATTTTGAAAAACGACAAATAGCTATAATTACCAATCACTTGTTCAAATTAATACAAATGAGCATTGATCTGAGTAAACTTTTTACTTTTTTTGTTCAACAACATTCAAAGATATTGATTTTTGGCAACATTCAATAGTTGAAGTAATAAAATGATGGCAAAATGCCAAATCTCTTTAAGAAATGTGAAGTCAATTTGATATTATGTATTTTATGACTCCAAATACAAGCCACATACACCTCATCTATTCTAGAAAATTTCATTCAATAAAATAGAGTTTTAATGTTAAACAATGTTAAGAAATAACCACACATTGAATTAATTTTCTACTTGTTTCAAATTATGTAAAAATACATGAAAATATTTTGTAATTATTCATTTTAGATCGTATTTATGTACAGTTTTCAAATTAATTAAATTATATAAATTTTTCATTTTTTAAAAATTTGTTTAAAGTACAGATATTTAATTTTCACCCATTATTGAATTTATTCAATTGATATTTCTATATTATAATTTCTACTAAGCTAATTATAGTAAGAAAATTCTTTTAATTATTAATTAACATAATTAATTAATTAGTGCGAGATGACATTAATTTGATACTTTATTATAATCTTATAAACTTGCTAACGTTTTGAAATTTTTGTTTTATAACTGAAGATGCATACATTTTATATTTACTGATTAAAAACTATATGTATTAATTACAACGTTTAAATTAAATTCCAATTACGTTTTAATTAGGTATTTAAATTTAAAATATGTCACAATTGACTTTTTATAATACTTACTCCATTCACAAGTATCATAATATTGTTTTTGTGATGAAAAACTAACTCCTGGTTCATCTAATCTATGCTGCCGCTTTTCCATCTAAAATATTAAGAGATAAAGGAATTATTAAAGTTGATTTAAACTATAAATACTATACCTGCCAATTAATCAAACGTTCTTTCTATATTTTAATATTAAATTTTAAGAGACATTTACAGGGTGGGAAAAGTCAGTTAACTCTTAAAAGAACTAAAAACCGGATTGGAAAAATACATCTCATTCACTTTATTAGAAGAAATTGACGTTTATCTTGATTAACTGACTTTTGGTCTACTCTGTACATAAGTAATTAGAGTACTTTGTCTTACATATTAAACATATCTATTAACTAATATTAATATAAAAATTCAAATAGAGTTAAAATTAAGATTGAACTTGAAATTAGCATTAAGATGTTTGACATTAAAGAAATTTTTGTATAAAATAAATGCGAAGATTCGGTTAAAAAATATAATATTACGTTAAAATATTGATTGCCGTAGTAATTTTGATAAATCGTATGGATTATAAAAACGATAAGAAGTAATCTACCGTATTTAATTTATTAAAACATTTTGATTCTTTAAAAATGTGAAAAAATAAACAATTTTTCAGGTGAAAAGAAAACTTAAAATTTACATTATCATAAAAATACACTGGAATTTATGTAATAATAATAATAAATTATAAATAATTTCAACTTCAAAAGTGAAAACAATATAAACATAATTAGTATAATTAACTAAACAACAAATAAGTATTGAATAAAGTTTTTAATTTAATTATAATTTATATTTTAAAAGTTCCATCAAAATATAAAAATTAGACTAAACCAACCTTTTATCTTTTAGAAATTTTATTAATTTAGTTGATAATAACAAAGTAAGATGTTAAGTATTAATTAACGAACTTATTTAAACCATGCAACATAAAATTTTAATTAAAAATTTGTGCTTATAAGATAAATATTTAATATTTAAAAAGCAACATTAAAACAATATCTTGTATAAATACTTTATAATATTTTAGAAATACAAGAAATTTTAGGTATAATTTTATGGTTAGTTATATTATTACATAGTTACGAAACTAATTTTTTTTATTAACGTAAAATAAATTACATTAATAAAAAAAATTAAATTTTATATTAATTAATTAAAAGTATTTAAATTTCAAGTTAAATAATTTTTCGTAAACAAATAAAAAATATATTTTTTAAGAAAACTTTTTAAAAAATACAATTTCTAATATAATGAACATAAAAACTTAAATATACAACAAAAATTAAGTAAAAAGTTTGAATTTTAAATTCGTAAATGTTCTTTTTTTATATATATATTTAAAGTTGATTAAATAAATTTAGAACTTTGACAATTTATTAAGAGAATTTGTAAAGAATGTTTAGTATAACTTTATATATATATATATATATATATAACTACATTCTTGTTCTTAATGAAGTTTAGGTATGAGAATTTTTTCACAAATAGAATAAAGAGCTTCTTTAGAAAATTTAACCGAATAAACACCGAAGTATTGCATGAAGTGGTAATACTGGAATGTCATGTCATATGGAATTAAGGAGGAGAAAAAACTTAACGAAATTGGATGTTCCTAAAAAAAAGTGAAAGCTTGTTTTGTTGGTTAAAAAAAAGACATATCAATTAGACATAAATCATACCGCTGCACTTATAAGCTGTTGTCTCTAATTGTAGTGCAAGAATTGATTGTGAATACGTTTATTGATTGATATAATATTTTTCTAGCTAGTGTGATTGATCGAAAATTGATAAGATTGATAAAATTGATGTTGTCAATAAAAAGATATTCCAATATTAGTATGATCAATCAGAAAACGATCAACAATAATAATTATAATGTCAAACGTACACGTTATTTTTTTAATCATAATTATTTAATTAACAACCACTCACATTATTAAATGAAACCTTAATTTATAAACAGTTCCTTCCACTTGCCATTAAAGTATCATGTATTTAATCAAAATTATAAATTTTAGAAAGTTTTTCTTCTTTAACTAACGTTACAACTTGCTTTTTTAAGCACGTGTTATAGACTATTTAAATTTATTCTATCATAATAGGTTATACATGCTAACAATATATTATTGATCATATGTCAAAATTATTCACTCGATTTATCATATCTGGTTACTTTATATTGAGTGTTTGAAAATCCGATGAGATTAATGCGAATTATCTTGTCAAACCGCTGTCTTCTCAAATGACTTATCTTAATCTTAAATTTTGTTAAAATTCAATAGGAACTTTTTTTGAAATAATGGTATTTTCATCTTCAATTTTATCATCATAAATACCATATCCAATTAAATTTCTTCTGAATAAAAGTTATGCACAACTTATATGTAATATATTACTTAATGTCTACCATAAATCAAAAAATGAAGCAACCTGACTTATAAAATCAGTGTAGCGATACGATCTGAATCGAATCTATGACAACTGAGTGTGATAAATGATCATCACGTATTTCATGGGAAAGTATTAGATCCAAAGAACTTATAAAGCTCTTATCAAATTGCAGATCCCTTTTTAGATTTTCTTTAATCGCAAAACAGAAAATACCATTTGTATAGTTTGTGTCATTATTATATTATTTTTTACATTTACGGATATTATTTACATTTATGTAATTATCCAATGCATCTAATATTTACATTGCAGGAAATAATTGATCGATTTCTTAAATAATTAATCTATTTATAACTCTATTGATAATGTATACACGTTTAATTGATAAATCAACCGATTAAACATTATATTTGTAATAATGTAAGGTAATATTTAATATATTACTTATATTTAATTTTTCATCATAATGCAAGAATCTTGCGGAACTCCTTTACACAAATCACATTATTCTAAGTAAACTTTTAAAAAATCTTTTAAAGGTAAAATATTGAGCTACACAAGCTGGACAACTTGGATTACGTTGTCATAGAGATCCGATACTTAGGAGATGAATCCAAGAGAAACAAACTTTATTAGCTACTCTTGCAATTACTGGAATCAGACAAACGATGTTTTCGGCTTCAACTTGTTTCGAATATATCCCTCCATTCGGGAATTAAGGACTATTTCAGAAGATTCCCGAATGGGAAAACTTTCAAAACAAAGAAAGAAAGAAAAGTAAAAAACAACATTGATAATCGAATCTGAAAACTATTTTTCTGAATTGCGTTTCTTGTCTCACTTTAGCATTATGTCGTGAGTAATATGAATATAAGATGACAGGATTTTGATATATTTAATGATGTCGAGTCAGTAGTCGATCATAGATTTTCGATCTTTTTTTTATTTCTGAGATTATTATTTTTGAAATTATCAGCATTATTTTAAAAAATTAGTAACAGCAGATTTATTTATTCTATTAATATTATTAATCTTAATTTTGTTTCTATCATAATATGAAATGTATTCTACTGTATTATAAAGTTGAATTTTAGAATGAAAAATGAAAATAAAAGAATTAAATTTATTAATTTTACATCATTTATATTTTATGAATAATTTTAACCTTTGCCTACAGAAATTTTTCAAAACACTTGATCCAAAACATTCAAAACCATTCAAATTTTTGAAGATTTTTGAATGCCATCGATCAACCTATAATAAATTATAATCTCCAAAAAGACTGAAATAAATCATGTTCCATATCTTTAATGAAAATTCTTGCTTCTAATAAATTAAGCACATATTCTATCAGATAAAGCTGTTTAAATTAGAAAAAATAACCTTCTATTTTTTATAGTTGTTTCATAAATTAATATAATGTTTGTAAAAATAATAATAAAACAGATAAAATTTTAGTTAAATAAATAAATATTTTATTTAAAAATTTATAAGTTAATTTATATTAATATTAATATAAACAGTTTATATGTTTTTCAAACTGTTTCTTTCGAAATTAATACAGTAACGATATATTTACCTGATATTTTTGTAGTGGTACTCTTTCCACATGGACATCGTACATGGCTCCAGAGAGAAAATAAGCTTGTCCATCAGAAGTGCACTTTAACTTGTTGTTGACATTCTCCCTAGAACACTGTTCGCTTCCTGAAGATGTTTCTACTCCTTCTAAAAGAACCAGAAACAAAAATTTATAAATTTTTACTGTATATTTGTTTTTCAACTGTAAACTTTCTGAAAGATAAACCTCCTTGAATTTTACATGTACAGTTTTCCTCACATTTAACATATATTGAATCAAATTTGTAACTACAACTTCACTAAAATAAAAATAAAATTAAAAACATTTACTTTAATAAGAGTTTTTAATTTACTGAATAAATAAACAAAAGTAATTCGAATAAATTATAGTTTTATATTGAATTGTTTTAAAACTTTTAATTAAAATTTAAAAAAAACTATTTTAATTATGTTTCAAATTATTATTATTTAAAAAAATTCTTTTATCGTTCTTATTATTTATGCGGAGATATAAACATAAAAGACTTTTTTGCGTTTATGTTCTTTCATTTATATTTATGAAATGTATGAGAAAAAATAAACATATTTTAATTTCTCTATTTTAAATTTTAAAATAAGTAATAAAACGCACATAAAATTACCTGGAGCTCTTCGTCTGGAACATTTTCTTCTTAACACGCATACAATAGCGATATTTACAATTCCAGCCATACCACCAAGTACAGAAGCACCGATCCACCACCAATGAGGTAGAGTGCTGCTGTCATTTCTAGACGAAGTACTGTCCATTATTGGTGCATCTAACCAAAGGATAACTCTTTTATCAACAATGTTTTTACAATAAAAATTATTCTGATTGGCTGAAAAGATTAACATTATATTCAAATACGTAATAAAAGATTTCAAGACCTGTATTTTAATAACTAAACGTTGTTATAACAATGTTATTAATTAATGATAAAGAAAGAAATTATTCTTAATTTTTTCTAAAATAAAAATTCTGTTATGTAATGCCAAGTAAATTAGTCATTTTGTTAATATTGTAGATATTGTATTAATTAAATATTTAAAATATTTTTTAAAAAATAATGATTAAACTTTAAATTTATGAGAAATAAAGTTAGCATTGTTATTAACTTATTATTCGATTTGGATAAATATCTTATCATAAATTCCATTATAGTGATTAGTGAAACGTTTATCCTACAAAGCAGAGCAATTGGATTATTTAACTTAATAACACGCTTCTTTATAAGTGACAAACTTGATTTTTCTGTACAGTTTACGTTTAAAAAATATTCAAATTATAATGTTATAAATAGCTTGTTCAAAATAATTAAATAATATTATATTATTTAATTAAATTAAAAACTATTTGAGTTGATATTAAATAAAGAATTATAACCGAGTTTTTATGATGATTTATGATTAAATTTATCATTAATTAAAAATGATTGATTTAAATATGTGTAAATATTCGTAAATTTGAAAAGTTTAGCATAAATAATTTAATTTTCATTAAAATATTATACGAATAAAATCTGGTATGCATTGTCGTTGAGCTAAAAATAATTTATAATAGTTGATGGCGTAACAATTTTTATTTTAATTAAATCATGTAGATAATATTTATTACGATAGAATAAGAAAAAATATTAGGTAAAGAAATATCTTATTCTTTTAAGAAAATTGTATGAAAGCTCATATACAATTATCACTTATTGCACCTCTCAAAGTGATATATTAAGTAATCCAATTACTTTACTTTTCCATACTTTTACCAGTCACCGTCATGGCATTTATAATATACGATATTCGTTCACATCCAACAACTAACAACACTAACTTATGACCTAGAAGTTAAAAGTTTAATCATTATAACCGAACGTTAGTAATCAAGAGCAGAAATGTTAATTGGGCGAATAATGTTACTTATCTTATAGAAATTAGTCAATCAATTTCAATACTTTCTTTTGTATTATTAACAAATTTAATTCATAACCCAAAAAACTGTTTCATAACGAATAATATTATTATTTATCTATAAAATATAATAGTTTAATAGAAATTTAGTTAAGAATTCATGCTCTTATCAACGGATATATAAGTGTGTAAGTGCATTTTGATGAAAAATATATTAATTAAAGTATATCGATAAAACATCACCAAAATTAATAAATTATGTTTATAGGTTTAAGAATAATCAATAAAGTTTTATACAAAATAACAATAAAAATAATTAATGAATTTTTAAAGGTTAATGCATTTTCAACCACACTGTCCAATCTTTTTTATTTTTATGAATAATCTTATCTACTAAAGAGTTCGCGACCCACCAGTTGGGATGCTTATCGTACAGACTACAAACAAATATTTTCTTTATGCCATAAATAATATTAATATGGATATTACGATAATTTAAATATATCATAATATAAATCAAAGATACAAAACATTTCCAAAATACAAAGCAACATTAAAATTAAAGCAGTTAATATTGTATTATTCAAATACGCTTAATTACAAATTAAAGGATTGTTTAATATATTTTATTCAATTTACAATTACTGAAACAAACTAATTACAAAATGCAAACAATAATAATTTCCAATTATTGAACTGTTTAAAATTTTTAAAAATATATAAATATTTATTTACATTTAATTTAAATGAAATCATTTGGAAATCAACAAAGTATAAATAGATAAACATTAACTCCTTTTTTTGTAGAAAACATTATGTTTAACTATAAATTGCAATTTAAAAACACAAATAGTTATTGTATCATTTAATTGAAAAACTTGAAAATAATTAAATTGAAAAAATATATAAAACTCAAAGCCTGATTTATACACAAGATAAACAAGCTACAACTTAGGGTCTCACGACACGAATATCTCACTCATCTTTAAAATAAAATTCATGTATTGCCCTTTATTTGATGGGGATATATTGTATTCTTATATATTATAGCTTAAGACAACAATAAATCTAAATCCGGCTGTGGTTAGAATTTAAACTTTAAAATTTGTTTTTTATTTTGTAAATTAATTAAAATGTAAATGTAATCAAATTTAATAATTTATCGATATAATAGAAAAAACATTTCTCTTAATTTAGTTTAATTTTTTACACCTCACATCAATTTAAAAATTAATTACATAAATTTAAATTAAGCAAAAAACGAAAACAAAATTACAAAATTCTTTATTTCGCTTTACAATGAATAATGTAATAATAGAATTTTTTATGAGTCAAAACTTTTAGCACTTTAAGTGTAAAAAATCGTTTTCGACTTCTCCTATAAATCTCTTATATTATTAGATCTTATATATAAAATTTAAAAATTTATTTATTACTTTTAAAAATAAAAAATATATAATAAAATTTACTTCCAGACTTTACCAAATATATTAAGATTAAAATTTTAATTTAAAAAATCTGATATAATCGGTAAATATTAATACAAATTTATTTACTTTTAATTAAAATATATCTTTGCAAAATTATCCTTCTAAAAATAGAGAAAAAAATTAAGTGTATGACAAAAAAGAAAAAAAATTTTCAAACTATCGAATTGCAATAATTCTTACACAAGATATTTGAAATCTAACTAGAATGTAATGAAGGATTTTTCACATCAATCATATCTAAGCAGAACATAACGCCTCCAATAATACCATAAGCCTGTATCGTCGCTACATTTTTTCCCTTATATCCATGAAATACAACTCAAAGAAGCGAAAACAAATTATTGATGAGAATGCCACCAACAGATCTAGTACAATATCTTGTGAAGGAGAAATATGGATTGAATGTAAGTCTATATTGGGACAACTGAAAATACATTCGATCATATGATCTTATTCTTTACTTATTATTGAAGTTTCTTGTATTTCTTTCATAGCATTTCTATATATATTCCATTTATATTAATTTTTTGGCAGCAAATTCTGTTTCTAATTCAATAAAATTTCAAAATTAGTTTTAAATTTTAATCCTTAAATATTTAAACTTACATTTTATTAAAAATATATTAAAAACTTCGAAATACAAACTTCATATAATCACGGGTCTCAGATATAAAGAGAATTTTATTATTGCCTGAGGTGTAAATGCTACTTTTCTTAGAACAATTCTCCGAAGATTTTTATGATGAAGAAGAAAAGATATAGCACGGTTGTTGCCACTAATGCTTTATTTAGTGGACGAATCTACTAAATTGTTGATTATTGTTACAATAACCCTACTAAATCTAGATGTTGCACTAAAAATAAGTAGATTACATAAAATGATATTATCTTGTTACGTGTACATTGTACTGTACATGATAATACGTGTATATAAGGTCTTTACTGTAGTTTTATAAATAAAAATGGTTTTTAAACTTTTATTTTAAACTACTCAATGTAGTATTAATTATTTTTATAAATGTGTTTTATTTATAGTTTATTTTATGCATTGATTTTTTAAAAATTTATGCGATTAAAATTTGAAACTTAAAATTTAAAAATTAGATTTTATCTATCTATTATTATAAAATGTTATAAAATATTATAACATATTATTATTATTCGAACTTATCTTGAAATTTAGTATAATATTAAGAAAAGTTTTTAAATAAGTAGTTCTTTTCTCGAAAAAAACGGATGAGTTATGTTTAAAACGGCGTAAAAAATTTACTGCTTCATAAAAGAATATTGTCTTTTCTAACTAAATGCAGTAAATTATATATTAAAAAAAATAAATTTTGCTTCTATTTAAAATTTATAAACATACAGCTCTGGATATATTGGATTATATTTTCTCTTAATATCTTTTAATATAAAGGATGTTTCAAAAGTCAGTTCACTATTATAAAGACTAACGTGTTACACATTTGTTATTGTGCTTCCACCAATTTTATAAAAGAGAATCGAGTTATTTAAATCAGTTTACTATTTAATTCGCATATTTAATATGAGAAATATATATAAAATATAATTAACTGACTTTACAATCATGTCGAACTCATATTTTGTATGCAAGATTTTTTTCAATGAAAAATCCGGATAAAATATTATTATTATATGATTATTAAAGCGCAATGTAAAAGATTGAGAAAATATATATAATTCTTTTTGAAAGCTATAATCAATTTTATATGCGTATAACTTTTATAAATAATTTTAAACTTTAGAAAGAAGTTAAAACTGAAGGTAAGTTTTACAGTTTAATAATGTTTTGTTTCAAAAATTTTATATTACAGTTTCTGTATGTTTTATCGAGTTTACCACCTTCTTTATATTGTAAATATTTAATATATTTTATGAAAAATATCTGGAACTTTGGTATTCAATAAAATTCTAGTATAGCATTGAGGGAAAAACAAAAAGAAAAAAACATTCTGACTAGAAAACATTCTACCTGATTTTAAATATTATATATAAATTCACGTAGAAAAACTTTTAAAAAATTAATAAAAAAAACTGAAATGTTAAGATAAACAATTTCAGCTAAAATCTCCGTTCAAAAAATGTTACATTTTGATAGTTTAAAATTTTTTCCAAAGTTTACTCTTCAACTTTTCTATATAGAAGATTATGAGTTACATATAAAATATATTTTTGTTTAATTTTTTAAAAATAGAAATAACATCCAGTTTTCTAATAAAATTTTACATTTTATAATCATATTTTTATATATTAAAATATGGTTGTAAAACCAAATATGAACACTTTTTTTATGAGAATTCATCTCACAAAATAGACATAATTCGATATAGTTGTTTATAAGAAACTTTAACATCAGTTTTTCATAT